AAAGTGTGTGAAGATTGTTGTACTTCACCCTAGAGCCATTAAGCCCTTGTATAAGAGATTACTACTAATATGTTGTTAAAGGTTGAGCCTTGTGTGCTTAGTATGTGTATATATATATATATATATTTATTTATATAGCGATAGCACAGTAGTAAGGCGTTTGCCTTGCACGCAGCCAACATGTCCTACCTGAGTTCGATTCCTCCGCCCCTCTCGGAGAGCCCGGCAAGTTACCGAGAGTATCTCGCCCGCACGGCAGGGCCTGGCAAGCTCCCCATGACCTATTCGATATGCCAAACACAGTAACAACAAAGTCTCCAATGGAGACATTACTGGGCCCGCTCGAGCAAATGGATGATCAACAGGAGGGCCTTTACTTTTACTTTACTTTTACTTTATATAATATATATATATATATATATATATATATATATATATATCTTTGAGATGGGTTGCCTTCTACTTTATAGTTCACCAAAGGTGGTGTGTCACTCTTGGTACATCAGTGGAGCAAATGAGGCTGCATGCTCCAGGAATAGAGGTTAATTTTGAAAGAAATTTTTTAACTAGATGGTGACGTTAGGGTGTGGGGGCATCTCTATGGTGTATCATTCCGTGTTGCTCTCTTCCAAGAGCCCGACTTGGGAGCTGGATCATGGCCATTCATGAACTTATATGGTGCCAGAGGCAGTTCCTGAGTATGGCTGCCAGGCTGCAGGAAGCACAGGGAGATAGGAGGAGGTCACCCACCCCAAATTCCATGGGAACCTGGAGATTTCAGTCACAAGCCTCTGACTTATTTCATGTAAACTTTCAGATCCACCCACATTTCAGCGAATGGCACAATTTTATCTTTCCTTGGTGCTGCATAATATGCTACTGTGTAGCTCTGTCCTCCCGTTGTTCATCGATTTGCTCAAGTGGGCACCAGTAATATCTCCATTGTGAGACTTGTTACTGCTTTTGGCATATCAAATAAGTCACAGGTAGCTTGCCAGGCTCTGTCGTGTGGGCAGGATACTCTCGGGTAGCTTGCCGGGCTCTCAGAGAGGGGAAGAGGAATTGAACCTGGGTCAGCTGCATGCAAGGAAAATGCCCTACCCAGTGGGCTATCGCTACAGCCCATCCCAATGTGTATACCATATATTCTTTTCTCTGTCCTTGGGCACTCAGATTGTTTTCATATTTGGGCTACTGTACTGGACATTGCAATGAACGCAGGTATATGTGAATCTTTTTAAAATAATGTTTTAGTGTTTGCGGGGTAGATGCCAAGAAGTGGAATCACTGAGTCATCTGGAAGGTCTGCTATGACTTCCTTGGAAACTCCTCTAAACAGCTTTCCACTGAGACTGAGCCAGACAATATTTTCACCAACAGTAAAGGAGGGCTCCTTTTACCAATTCCCACTGAAAACAGAATTTCTTTGATTACTATAATATAATTTAAAGTCAGGAAACACAGTTCTCCTGTCCTATTTTTCCCCCTCAGAATAGTTCAAGCTATTCAGGGGGTTTTGCGATTCCATAAAAAGTTTCATAGAATGTCCTCTTTATAATGCTTTGGATAGGATGGTCATTTTGACAGTGCTACTTTTTTTTAAATCTATGGACACATTTTGTTTTTAATTTCCTGAAGTCCTCACCTATTTCTTTCAATAGCGAATCAACGTTTTCAATGTTTAAATCTTTCACATCTATTGTTAAGTTGATTTTTTTTATTAGTGAAATACCATGAGATACAGTTGTAGACTTACAAGATTTTGTGCTTGGGTTTCAATTATACAATGATCGAGTATCCATCCCACCACCAGTGCTCATTCTCCACCCCTACCAATCCCAGTATTCCTCCCACCCACCCCCATCCCCCATCCCACCCTGCCTCTGTGGTAAGGCACTCCCTTTTGTTCTCTCCTTTTGGGTGCTGTGGTTTGGCAGAAGAGGTATTGGGTGGCAATCGTGTTCGGTCTAGAGTCTACTTTCAGCATGCATCTCCCGTCCTGGGCAGATCTTCCCAACACCCTTTAGTATTTGATGTTTAGATACAATTTTAATAAAGTTATCTTTTCTATTTTTTCTCTTCTGGTTCATTATTTCCATATATAAATGCAACAGATTTTTGCGTATTGACTTTGTAGACTGCACTTTTCTATATTGAATTATTGTATCTATGCATTTCTAGTGGAGTGTTTAGGGTTTTCTATGTATGATATCCTGTCCTCTGCAGATAGTGATAGTTTAACTTCTTTTCCAATTTAAATCCCTTTGATTTCTTTTACTTCTTAATAGCTGTGGTGAGGACTTTCACTTTCCAAACTATATGAATGTGATTGGAGAATGTGGAAATCCTTGCTTCACGCCTGCTCTCAGTGGGAAGGCTTTCAATGTTTCACCCGTGAGGATGATGTTGGCTGTGGGTTTGCTGTAAATGGCTATACCTGTCTTGAGGTACATCTTTTCTATTCTTATTTTGTGAAGGGAATTTATCATGAAGGATCAAATCCTGTTTAAAGTTTTCCATAGATCTGTCACTGTAATGTGACTTCCCTGTTGATTATATGGTTTTTATCTTTCTTTTTCTCTTTATGGGGTATTAAATTTATTGATTTGTGTGTGGATTCAGTTTACTAGTGGTGTAGGCTGGTAGATAGGGAAGGATTCCCATGACAGTGGAATTCCTAGGAAGTAATAATGCCAGTAGCCACAAGACCACAAAGAGCCCAGTGAGCTCAGGAGCCTAAGATTTCACCTGGTGCCAACCAACATAACCAGAGAAGCCTGGACACTTTCTCCCCTCAATCCGAGAAAAGCTTCAGCAGGAACAAAGGCTAAGGAAAAGAATTTCACAGATCATCAACCACTCCCAACTCTACCCCTTTGGCAAAACCCTAGCAACTGGACTCCTACCTAGCTAGAAAGCCTCACATGGGGCAGGTTGGAGAAACGCTGTAAAATACTCTTGAACAAAGGAAGTGCACATATATGCTGTCAGAGCCCATGTGCTGCTTGTGCCCACATGGCCCAGCACATGTAGAACCTGTGGTGCCCAAGCACACGGTTGGGCAAGCTCACCTTCATCTCCCCCGCCTTGAGATGTGTATTTGGACTCTTTCTGTCTTTGGAAAAGTTCACACTTTCCTTCTTGAGTGTATTCTTCTTTCTCTCTCCCTTTATCTTCCTCCTCCCTTTTCACAATAACCTCCAAATAAAATCTGTCTTCATTTCGCTGCCCATCTATTCCTGAGATTATTTTCCGTGAGAAGGACAAAGACTTGTAAGGCCTGGGCAATGCCTTTACTCTCCTGCAAAAAGCAATTCATTGGCCAGCCTGAGTCCATGACTCCCTGAGAAATCGGGTGGTGGAAATTAAGTCGCGTGCTGAGAAGGTCAAGTGGACATCATGTGTGGCTTGATGGTCACCTAGTGGGGCTGGCAGGGCTCTGGCCCCTGCCACACAGGGATTCATGGCAGACTTTCTCAGTCCCACCTTCCTAGTCAGTCCTGGGTGTCAGAGGCAGATCAGGAGAAAGTGGCCATCTCTCTCCATCTCACATAGGTCACCTGTGGGGGCCCACCAACTTCACTGGGATTTTTTGAGGATCTTTGTATAAATGTTCATCAAAGATGTTGTTCTGTAATTTTACCTTTTGGTAATATATTTTTCTGCTTTTGCATTTATGGTAATATCGGCTTCATTGAAACCGCTAGGAAGAATTCCCATTTCTTTGATTTCTTGTTTGACCTAATTTCCAAATGTTATAATGCCTTCATAGTATTGTGATCTGAAAAGATACTTGATATGATTTCTATTTTTGTAAATTTGTGGATATTCAAATTGTTTCTCAGTATGTGATAAATTCTGGAGCTATCTATCTTCAAGGCCAGTGTCACAATTTTCAGTTTTATCCATTCTGCTGTTGAGACTTTAGCTCCTTTATTTCTTTTTAATTTTTTTCTATTTCATTTTAATTTTTTTTAAATGAATCACCATGAGAGACAGTTATAGACTTACAAACTTTCGCGATTACGTTTCACCCATACAATGATCGAGTACCCATCACTCCACCACCAATGTTCCCAATAACCCTCCTGCCACCCCTAACCCTTCCCACCCCTGCCCCTGTGGCAGGCACATTTTCTCTTACTCCCTCTCTCTGTGTTTGGGTGTTATGGTTTGCAATACAGGTAGTAAGTGGCCATCATGTTCGACCCATAGTCTACTCTCAGCATGCATCTCCAGTCCCGAGCGAGCCCTCCAAGCATCATTGACTTAGTGGTCCCTTCTCCATCCCAGCTGCCTTTTCCTCCAGCATGTGAGGCCGGCTTCCAAGCCATAGCTCCTGTATTTCTATTTGATTGAGTTCTTTTGTTTTTACATCAATCTCTCCAGACTTATTGATTCTCTTTTTAAATGTCCCAGTCAGATTAATACACATAGATGTGATTGTTGTTTTGTGAGGGAAACTGGTGGAAATTCACGGGCACTGAGGGCTGTGACAGAAGGTGGTGATGGATTGCAAGCACAAAGAGGCCCAGAGAACCAGGCTGAGACAGGCAACATAGAGCCGTTAGTTCTATTCAGAATCCTTTGTCTTGATAACCTGGTCAACTTAAGAACAATTTTGCTGTATATACTCACTTGCTTGCTGGCTGGCTTGCTTCCACTTAAAAGACCTAGCGGCAGAATGGACCCTTTGTTCAGACCCAAGAGTTGAACTCCTGGACCTTGTATATAAACTTGTTTCTCTTCCACCCATCTCGGCTTGATATCTTGATTCCTCGGACTTTCACTAACCATTCTAAGATCTTCATACAGATTGAAAAGTTCTAATGTAGCTGGGGAACTTCCTGGACCTTTGTCACTTTTTGTTGATACAGCTGAGTTCTTTCAATTTTTCTTAGCTTCCCATGACCTGTGCATTTACATTATATTTCACCTATATTTATGACATTTTTAGTAAATTTGCAAAACAAACTTCCTACCAAAAAGATAAATCTTACCTGGACCAGTTCCATCATGGCTTATTACAACTTTCTTCAATTTTCCAAGAGTTACAGCCTCAATGGAAAATATATCAACCTATACAGTGAATAAGTAAATTGAAGGACCATTATGACATTTTGTTTCTCGAAGAAAAACTACTACATTAGTATAATATTACTAAATTACTTTATTGCTATTATTATTACCTTAATATTATTACTACTATAAAGACCACCAACTGATGTTTTTCAATAGCATAAAAGTTATTTTATAATTGCACAGCATAGCACTTACTACATTTTTGTACAAAGCCCTCACAATGCATAATATAAAATTCTTGCTCTTCACAGCCATTTTTTGTTTGTTTCTCTGCCACATCAAGTAGTGCTAAAGGATGACTCCTGGTTTTGTGCTCAGGGATCACTCATGGTATGCTCCGATGAGACCATACGTGATGCCAGGGATTGAAGCCCAGTCAGTAGATGCAAGTCCACCTCCTTACCTTCTGTATTATCTCTCCATTCCGAGATTTTTAATATTTAATCACATTAAATATTGTCTCCTGCCCCTGCACCTGGCTGTCCTCGCCGGGGGCCTCTTGGAGGGGAGCAGGTTGAGTTTTCCTCCCCGCCCCGACAAGGGCTCCAGCAGCCGAAGACCTCCAGAACCAGCCACCACCATGCTGAGACCACTCTCCGCACACCTGAAGGTACTGGCAGAGGAGCAAAGGCAAGCGGGTCCCGGGGCTGAGATCTCCAAGCCTACTCGGATTGGGGCTGAGCATCCTCCACTCAGATCCTCCAAATTCCAGTAGGTGGGGGTCACACCCACCAACTGGCCCCCTGGCGCCATGTAATCCCATCAACGACCAAGAATCAGAGACTATAAAACCCAGCTCCCGGAAGCGCGTGGCCACATTTGCGGCCGCGTGATATCTTATCATCTCATTCCTACTTTGGACAAACTGGCAAGCTACCGAATGCAACCTGCCCACACGGTAGAGTCTGGCAAACTCCCCGTGGCATACCCAATATGCCAAATATCAGTAACAATGAAGGGTCTCATTCTCCTAACTCTGAAAGAGCCTTGAATATGGAACTTTTTAAAAAATCTCAGGTCTAGGACAAAGGAGACGTTACTGGGGCCTGCTCGAGGCAATCGATGAATAACAGGATGGTCGTGATCATGATCGTGAATCACATTAAATCTACAACTACTAGTAATAGTATTAGCTAGTGTTGGAGTACACGGATCTTAGGTTTATCAGGTTGCATCTATCACAGTGCTCCCAAGTCACTCCCATTACTTTGTCTGTCTGTAATCACATCTATGCTCTCTTTCCCAACCAATTTGTAAGGTCTCATCCTTCTTAGACACTGAAACTAGTACTGTAAGTTAATATTGCCTTTCTCCTCTCCTCATGTCTTTTGAATAGTTTAATGCAATGTCCTTTTTGTATAGATACAGGAAGACAATTAATTAATATGCTTTGTAACTTAGGAATTGATTAGCCCTGAATATTATTCACTCCTGGGCATCTGCCTTCTCAACTTAAATCCCAGTTGCCCTCACTTCTTAGCACCCAAGGGCAGGGTCCCGATGTGGGACTGGATGGAACCAGGGCAAGCCGGTAAGTTATGTGCTACCCTGGCATCGAGATGGGTCAGGCCAAGGTGCCACAATTCTTAACTATAAGTTAAGAAGAGTTTGATCATAGGCAAATGCTGTCATGATCTAAAAGTAACGATGAGACTAGGACCCCACTGCTAGAAACAGGAAAGATATCTGGCCTGAGCACTGCAGTCTGAGATCGAGATGGCCCTAGGAGAGCAATTCTATAAGCTCAAAGTATTTCTTACTGTGTCCATACAAAATGATTAATATTATGTATGCTTATATGTTGGTTGGACAAGGAGAGGAGAAACACATCCTAGAAGCAGTTTTCCTTTGTGTCCTGACTAGCTTGGTTGAGACTGAACTTTCTCCCCTTCAAACTGCCTTCAGTAAATGATTTCAGTATATTGAGGCAGTTTCTCTTATCTCACAGGAGCTAGATGGCCTTAGGTATGCAGATCCCAGGTGCTAAGCCAAGCCTGGTCTTTGGGATGTAGATGCCTGGCTCTAAGCTGACTGATTTTGGAGATGTAGATTCCAAGCTCTATTAGACTGGTCTTTGTTGTGCTAATCCAAGTGTTTGTAGTTTGTAAAAGGATTACTGGCCTGGGGATGTAAAGAAACAATGTATGGTTTGCCTCTATGTTCTTTCTGTAACTCCTTTTGATGACATCACTATATTGCGCCCTTTAGAGGTACTATGATCTATATAAGGGAGATTTCAGGGCTCTCTGGGGGACACGTGCATCAGAGGACCTGGGAAGATGGGGCTGAGGACAGAAGCTAAGAGAACAAAGGTGCACGTGCTTGAGGATTCCTGAGGCCTCCATGACATATATCTCTTCCATGTAATAAACTGCTGCTAAGACCAACCAGCCTGGCCCTCATTTCCTTCCCTCACCTGACCATCGCCATCCACCTCCCTGGAGTGGGGAAACGGCCTGAGACTACCGAACGCGGGTGGCGGGAGAGATAGACCACCTGCCTTTTATTTTTTGTGTGTTTACACAAGCTAGTATAGTCCATTCTTTAATGTATTCTGTTTTTCCTGTACTCACACATTTAACACTCAAAAGGATCCATGAAATTAGCAATATTCATTTTCTTACTTTCAATACCATATTATCTTTTATTATCATATATTTTATTATCCACATTATCAAATTATATATCATATATTTTATTATCATATTATCAAATTATCTACGAGCCACAGTTTATCAGCTGGTGAGTGACCAAACCAGGGCTCAAACCCAGGCTGTCCGCAACCAGAATGCATGCTGTCTGCAAATTGCCATTGCTATCTGTTTCTTAGTAGTTATGGCTTCTGAATAATCTATATATTAAAACCATAAAGTTTAGGAGTGATAGTACAGCGGGTAAGGCTGACCTGAGTTTGTTCCCAGGATCCCCGGAGCACTGCCACCAGTGATTCCTGGGTGCAGAGCCAGGAGTAAGCCCTGAGCACCACTGGGTGTGGTCTCAAACCAACAAATCAAAGCAAAATTGAAAAATACCAACATAGGGATGTAAAAGCAAAAAGAAAGGAAAGGGAGTGAAATAATAAGACTTAGAGCAGAAATCACTGAAATGCTAGCTGACTAACCAGCTAACTATATATATTTATACATTATAAATATATATTAAATATATATTATACATATGCACTGCCGAGCCTGGCAAGCTACCCGTGGCATATTCGATATGCCAAAAACAGTAACAATAACAGGTCTCATTCCCCTGACCCTGAAAAAGCCTCCAATATGGCAGCATTGGGAGAGACGAGTAAGGAGAGGCTGCTAAAATCTCAGGGCTGGGACCAATGGAGACGTTACTGGCACCCCCTCTAGAGATAGATAGATAGATAGATAGATAGATATAAACTGCTGTTAACTAAAGATAAGCTGTGCAAGTTCCAAATGCACAAACTCAGTCCCCACATGTAATGTGAATAACGACTCCAGGAGCCTCCATCCCAATCATTATCTCCCCTGAAGGTACAACTATTTTGCTATCTTGACATTTAATCACTCTTACTCGTATTTTCTGGGCCTGCTCTTATAAACAAAACCATGTTGGTTTCATTTTTCTTTCTGTCGGTCTGGTTTTTTATTTCTGTCAACCTTTGTGAGATTCAATCATGTGTCTTTAACAGTATTTTGTCCAGATTTTGATTTCTGAATATTAATCCTTAATATTTATTTAGTCTAATGATAAACAATAGTCTTTTGCAGGTATGGGGTTATTGCAAATAACACAATTCATAATGTTTTTGTGCTTTTTTCTTTATGTGTGTATCTTTGTGCTCAGTTGTTTCTACCACATGATGCAGCTTTAGTAGATAGTCTCAATTTTCTTATCTACACTCTACTCGGGTACAAAAGATCAAGGGTCTCCACAGGCTACACAGTGCTTGTGTCATCATTCCTTTTTATATATGCTTAGTTATTTAATTGCTCACAGTGACATTTCACTATGATTTCGATTGTGTTGTCCTGCTTACTGGCAAAGTCAGAACCATTTTCCATGTCTAGTGTTTAGTTCTCATGTCAAATGCCATGCTTATATTTTAAATTGTGTTGTCTGTCTTTTTATTTTGATTTGCATGTGCTCTATATGAAAACTAGAAACAAGTTCTTGGCTCACATATATTTGACCTTCTTTTCTATCCCACTGTTTTGTGTCTCGTCTTTTTACTGCTCATTTTATATTAAGGAACAGAGCTTTTAATATAAAGATGGTATCATTGTATCACTATCATCCCGCATTGTTCATTGATTTACTTGAGTGGGCACCAGTAACATCTCCATTGGTCCCAGCCCTGAGATTTTAGCAGCCTCTCCTTTCTCTTCCTTCACAATGGTGCCATATTGGAGGCTCTTTCAGGGTCAGGGGAATGAGACCCGTTACTGTTACTGTTTTTGGCATATCGAATACGCTACAGGTAGCTTGCTGGGCTCTGCTGTGATAAAGACTGTATGATGTATAATTTTTTCTTATATTTCATATTTTTTATTTTGGGGGGAAGGGGAGTGGGTTCCTAAGTGGTATTTGGAGGTTGGGGGATGGGAACCTACCAGTGATCTATGTTGGGGGTTCTAGAGTCACCCTTGCTGATTAGGGAGCCACACTAGCCACTATATTATCTCCTGTCTGTTTGTTGTATTTGTTTTTGAAATATAAATCTATACTTGGATGCCCCTGTTCCTAGCAGCATCATTAACCAAAAGACAAAAGCCACCTGGGCCGAATTTTTCAAGGAACAGATGTGCCAACAAACAGAATACGGGATATATAGACAATGGCATTTTATTCAATCTTTTTTTAAAAGCAAATTTGCAGACAGGCAGGACATGAATGGATACTGAAAACAACCTGCTAAGTGAAATCAGCCAATAGCAAGAAGCCAACACTTAGGATTCTTCAGGGAGTCTAAGTCATAAAATAAAGAGAAGAATGAGGATTACTAGGAGCTGGGCCAAGGAAAGAGGACGAGGGAAGGGAATTATTATTTCACTGACACAGGGTTTCAGGTATGCAAGACGAAGACATTTCTGGAGTTTAATGGAGGGGATGCTTTGCCGTCTGAATGTATTCAATGCCACTGAATTATGTACTTCAAAATGGCTGCGGGTGAATTCCACAGTTTCAATGTTTTACCATGACTAAAAGTGTTTAAAAATATTAATATAACCCACGTTCATGAAGATTGTCTTATATATTCTAGATAATTTGTTTACAATTTCTAATTTTTCCTATTTGATATTCATTTGCCTTTCAGAAATTATTTTTAAAATATCAGTTTTGAAACTAATATAAAGATTTATATTTTTTGTTCTATTTTCTCTCTTATTTATTAGTATTGCCTCCGATGAATTATTGATCTTAATTACCTTAGCTTTGAAGTAAGTCTTGATATCTAGTAATTTTAGCCCTCCAGCTTTGTTTATTTTTCCAATAGTATTCAAGCTTATTTGGGAGAAATTCGACTCTATGTTTTCACAAAAATTATCAAAATGGAAAATGATCATTAAAAATATTTCTGAGATTTTGATTGGTAAAGCATTGAATTGGTCTACATTGATGATATTACATCAAACTAAAGATAAATAGGAGAGAAGTAAGAACTTCATAATATTGAGTCCTCCAATTTAGGAACATGATAACTCTATTATTTTCATCTTTTAATATTCTTCAACAGTGTTTTGTCACTTTTCAGATGAGGTTTTTAATGGCCAGCACTGAAGCAACTGTACAACGGATTTGGAGTAGGTGAGCCTGACGGCAGGAAGGACCCGCTCTGCCCTTGTTCTGGGACACGGGGTCCCTTTTCCAACCATGTTGAGCCACTGTTGGTATCAGTGTCCAGCCTGTCGTCTGGGATCCGAGAGAAACCGTTATAGCAGTGAGTCTAGGAAGAGCGTCCATTCTCTGTTCTGGCAATTCCACCCTCCTTCCCTGAGCATCACGGGATGGACTGGCTGTTAATGACCTGTAGGACCCATCCAAGCTCCAGCTTGAGAGGAAATGCACCAAGCTCACACCTTCAAGGTGGGGAGTCAGGAGAGGGGCTGTGAGGGTCTCTCAGACTGAGCCCCAGCCTCCTGAGAGTTCTTATATCTCTGTACAGCATCTCCATCTCTCTTCTGCCACTTTCTGCTTGGTTTTTTGCTTCACCTACACGTGGTATGCAATGCAGAATTATCAGGTTCCTTCTTTGCAGGATCTTGGACCCGTAGGTCCTCCTTCGGTAGCTCTAGAATAACTTTAAAACCAATGTAAAAGATGTTACCAAACATTTCTCATTGTCAGAAGTAGAATCTTGACTGGCTTTGCTGTTGTTGTTGACTTTCTATAGAATTAAAAACCTGGAGTCTATGATTGCAGTCTACCTGGATAAAGTCCCACCTCTGCTCAACTCCAGAATCAAAAGACGCACCCCAAGCAGTAATCACCTCTCCCTGTACATCCTAATTGGGATCAGGTGCACATCTGGGGACTTCCTGCTCTTTGGTTTTGTTCTTAGTTAAAATATAGGAGGGCTAGTGACAAGAATCAATAAAGATCTTTCCAGGGCTGGAGAGATAGCACAGCGGGTAGGGCGTTTGCCTTGCACATGGCCAACCTGGGTTCTATTCCCAGCATCCCATATGGTCCCCTGAGCACTGCCAGGAGTAACTCCTGAGTGCAGAGCCAGGAGTAACCCCTGTGCATCGCCAGGTGTGACCCAAAAAGCAAAAATAAAAATAAAAATAAATAAAGATCTTTCCATTACCTGACCACGCCGAAACTTGACTTTGTTATTTTTTGATTGATGAAGCCTTCGATTCCCCGAATCTCCTCTGGTGCCGATGAGGTTGATAAATACATTAGATTCTGTCTCTGCACCCGGCTTCCTGCCCGTGAGCATGTAGATATTGTAAACCACCACTGAAATGTCAGACATATGGCATTATCATTCTCAATTTTATGATATCTTTGAATGTACTTCAATACACTAGAAGGGAACCAGAATTGGTTTCAGCTCCTTGATATGCATCGCTTTATGGAACCTGGCCATGGTCATTTGTTATATGTGCCCCTGATCAAATATATTTTATGTTTACTCTTCTTCTGTAGACTTTAGCTATTCCCAGAACTACTCTTTCAAAATAGAGTTAGCAATTACAGACTTCAATTAACTACTACACTTGCACAGTTATTATGAGAAGTTGTATTTGAAAAGAAAAAGAATAAGCTCTCTTCTTCCTTAATTAGATGAAAGGGCAATTTTCCCCCTAAAGTTTGACTGCTTTAATCACAGTTGGCCACTGGTGCTATTACTTCATGGATATTGCTAGTCCAATCATGGATATTTTTAATAGCTCTCTAGAGAGAGAGAAGATACAAAGATCTTGGAGAGATGCAAATTTATATCTAAGGCACATATAGATTTTTTTTAAAAAAAGCACAATGAGATACCAGCAAATTATAATCTACTATATTTAACTTCAGAATTAAGGTGATTTCTGAGTCATTGGTAGAAATCACTAATTAGAAAAAATAGATTGCTCTTACTGATACTCCTAATATGAATAATATCTTGGATCCAAGGAGTACTTTTTAGTCCAAAAACTTGGAACTCTATATAAATCATAGATTGTGCAATTGAACAGCTACATTTATAGAAATTCACATTAACATTTTCCAAAGAACTCAGACATGAAAATTCAACAAGTAAGAAAACAAGGTAAGTGAGAAACATCGCCTGTTTCTATCATGCCTGACCTTTAAGAAGACAAATGTGGTATATTGGGAAACGGTGTAAGCAGAGAAGATAAATCCATTTCTTTGCACAGTCTCACATATTCTGAAATACCCCAGAGTGAAACACAGCTGAACTTAAAGCAGAAAATTAGAACATATCATGTTAATTTCAGAAACTCAAAGAAATCTTTTAAATTACAAAGATCTAGTCACGTAGCCTGTGTAACTTTCTGACCTAAAGTTCATCCAACATGATGACAGAATTCTTTGTGAAAACAACTATATGGACAATTATAACTGAAAGATTTTACAGAGAAACCATGAATCATTTTTCTGAAAAGATTTCTTAATTTTACTTGAAGAAGGAACTTGATCACAAGTTTTCAATAAGACGTTTTTAATATTAAGACAAAAAATAATATATCAAGGCCAGGAATATAGTCCAATAGACAAGAACTTGCCTTGCATGAGTGCCTGTGGCTAGTTTTTGGCACTGCAAATAAGCTAATAAATAAAATATAATAAAGTAAAATAAAATATAATAAAGAAAACTTCCATGTAAAGATAACAACGGATTCCTAAAATGCAATGAGGCCATAATTAGCCCTTGAGTACTGCAGTGTATGCCCCCAGAACCAAAATAATAATATAAATTTATATTCAAGATTTTTTGTTTTTGTTTTTTCTTTTTGGGTCACACCTGGCGATGCACAGGAGTTACTCCTGGTTCATGCACTCAGGAATTACTCCTGGCGGTGCTCAAGGGACCATATGGGATGCTGGGAACTGAACCTAGGTCGGCTACGTGTCCAGGCAAACACCCTACCCGCTGTGCTATTGCTCCAGCCCCCACTTCAAGATTTTTTAAAAATGTATGTATCCAAAATTGTTTAGAAGATACATTTATAACACATAAAATAGCCCTCAATACTCTCATTACCACTGTACAGATAGTTTCCAATTTATTATAGCTTAGTTTGTGATTTTCCAACTTTTTGGTGATGTGAAAGGGATACACATTCAATAAAATGTAAAGCGGAAAATTTGAATTAGAGAATTCTGTTTTTTGGTGGGGGAGACAGGAGGGGATACACCTGGCTGTACTCGGGACTTCCTCCTGGCTCTGCACTCAGGGACCACTTGTGGAGGGCTCGGGGAATCCTATGAGGTACCAGAAATGGAGTCAGGGTTGGCCATGCACAAAGCCAATGCCTTAACCCTGTACTCCCTCTCTGACCTTAGAGCATTCCGTTTTATACTTTCATTTTCGCGTTCAGCAAATTACATGAGATATTCAACATTATTATAAAAGAGGTCTAGAAATAAAGTTCAATGGCCTCATGCTTTGTGTGTGTGTGTGTGTGTGTGTGTGTGTGTGTGTGTATGTGTGTGTGTGTCAGGGGAGAGGGCGGGAAGAGGCTGCCTGGTTCAATCTCGGTCACCATCTGATCCTCCAAGCATTGCTGGGAGTGACCCCAAGCACAGAGTCAGGAGTGATCTCTAAGCACTGCAGGTGTGGCAGAAAGAAATCATGAATTAATAAAAATAAAATAAACTGTTGTTGTTGCTCAACCGCAAGCTACTCAAGTATGAGCCTGTTTAAGGTAAATTGGGACCAATTCCATCGTTCACTAAGGTAAGGGTACTCAGTGCGTCTTCAGTTTAAGGTGGGGTCAGTCACGGTGCCCGGGAGCCCCTCCCAGCAGCCTCGGAGGACTGAGCACTGCAGGGACCCAGATGGCTTCTACATGGAAAACACAGGACTCCAGGCGTTCAGTAGCTCCTGAGCCTTCAGCTTAAGACAATTTCAGCTGGGGCTGGGTTTATCTGATAATAAAGTTGGAGCAGCAGAAGAAATAGTGCAGCAGTAAGTGCTTTCCTTGCACGCAGCAGACCTGGGTTTAATCCCCAGTATCCCAAATGGTCCTCCAAGCCCCATGGGGAGAGATTACTGTACTCAGAGCCAGGAAGACCTGAGCACCACCGGGTGTGGCAGGAAGGAAGGAAGGAAGGAAGGAAGGAAGGAAGGAAGGAAGGAAGGAAGGAAGGAGAGAGAGGAAGGGGAGGAAGGAGAGGAAGGAAGGAAGGAAGGAAGGAAGGAAGGAAGGAAGGAAGGAAGGAAGGAGAGGAAGGAAGGAAGGAAGGAAGGAAGGAAGGAAGGAAGGAAGGAAGGAAGGAAGGGAGGAAAAAAGGTTATAGAATAGCTGTACATGTTAATGTTTTATGTATAACCTTTGCCAGTTACCTGCACCACCTCAAGCATTTCTCAACACCGTTTCTAGAAGTTGCTGTGAATAAAGTTTAATTATATACACAGTGAAACACTGAAAGCCCTAGCTTGCCATTAAAAATATAAATAAAAGTGGTTATCGTTGTTGAGCATTGCATTTTATTCTCAAACCACAGATAACTGAACCATAAGTTAAGTTGTATTATTAACAGTCATATGATTCCACCTGCCCCCCCAAAAAAACACAGACAATTTGATGGAATCTGTATATTGACTCTTCTCTCATTGTAGTAATAAGATTCACTATGTAATTGCTATAGTTTTTGACAGGTGGATTTTTAAAAAAAAAAAAAAACAAAGTTCATGCCAGTGTATTCACCAACTCTTTTCATTGGCCCTTAAGGCAATATAAAATTCTTCTCTAACTCAAGAGGAAGAGACAGTTTAATACATTTCTTGGATGCACCCTCAATATGTACTTTAAAAAGAGTCTGAACAGATGAAGATCACAGAAAATTCTTAGTCCCTCTCCTTGGGTTTAATATTGCTGACTTAAAGGCGGGATTCCATATTCTAGCTAACAGACTGGCATTATGTTGTAAAAACAAAGACTAACAAAATCTAAAAGTTTCATCAAACTTTGATCATCCACCCCCATGTATAAGGAGGTGACCAGAGGGAACGCAATGCTAAATCTGAAATGTGAGCTTGAAAAGAACAGAAAATTAGCTCAAATACATGAGAGATATAGGCATGGGTTGGGATCAAGAGATAGTGCAGGGGTTATGGGACGTCCTTGGCATAAGCGCAACCCTGGATTGATACCCATTACCACCTGGTGCCCAAGCACTGTTGGGTAGAATCTGCCCCTCGCCCCGAGGCATAGGGCCTGAGCAGGACTGCGTCCTTTGGCCCTTGCATTGAGTCTCCAGCTGGTTGACTAAGAGTAACTAGGAGGGACCCCGAAGACTCCTGATGACACGTTGGGATCTGCTGTCCCACCCCCAACGATAAGAATGGGTAATCAGTACACGGAATGGAAGATTACAAGCAGATTCAAAGAAAATGATGATGAATCAGTCATTGCAACTGCAAAAGCACCCTTAAAGTACCAAATTTGAGTTGTTAATTTTTCCATCAGCCTCATTTAGTTAAAAGTATCTCAAAGAGTTGGATCATCCGTATATGTTGAGCATTTCTGCCAAAAGATCTGAGTGTTCTTTTTACTACAGATTATGCTAGATGTTGCTTTCTGATAGTCAGCAGATTCAGCTGCTCCAGGAAGCTTTGCTCACTCTCAGCCTGCCACAAGCACAGAATCAAATGCTTGTCTTCCCATTTACCCCAAGTCTCATCCAGTTCATCTGAAAGCTCTACGATGTATTCTCGCCATTTGGGGGAAATCGCTTTCCACTTGTGTTCATAACATCACCTTCAACACTGTCGTCCTGTGGCTTAACTATATTTTCATTTTAACAATTTCCCCATTTCTTGGGGAATGTTAGGACAGTGTCACTGTCAGAACTCAGCATTCTTCGGGCTTATCGGTGTGTGGCCTACGTAATGCGACTCAGACTCCTCTCATTAGTGACATCAAAGTCTTTCAGAAGTTTTACCTGCAGGCCGTATTTCAAACATTGTGGGTCAGAGTCTATGCCCAGCATTTGTTAACCATAACTTGTCAGCATAAACACAAAGCATTAATCCCTCCATATAGTATTCCTAAGATCTCCCTCATTCAGGAGACCTTGGTCTGTGATGACTACTGTAAACATAGAGCTGTATACGTGCATATGCTCTTGGGACAGCAAGCTTGAGAAAGGCACCCACTTGCAATTTCTGTCATTCAACATATTGAAAACACCACATGACTGAGGAGGGGGCCTAAATAAAGAATCAAATACAACTTCTCATGCCTGAAAAAATTTTTAAGCTTTTAAACTAAACCTCTCAA